GCTCACTGCAAGCTCCACCTTCCGGCTTCACGCCATTCTCCTGCCTCAGCCTCCCTAGTAGCTGGGAATATAGGCGCCCGCCATCACACCTAGCTAAGTTTTTGTATTTTTAGTAGAGACGGGGTTTCACTGTGTTACTCAGGATGGTCTTAATCTCCTGACCTCGTGATCCGCCCGCCTTGGCCTTCCAAAGTGCTGGGATTACAGGCGTGAACCACCGAGCCCAGCCGGAAAAACATTTTTGACAAGGGTGGAGATTTGGCTTTCATAACAGAACTGTGCAGTAGAGGGAGCATGGTCTGTTTATGGCAAAGTTATTTTCCATATACTATAGGTCTCCGAAAGCAGCAAATGGGAAAGGAATGAATGCCTCAGAACAACTCTATGCAAAGAAAACTGCTGTATTACCTTTCTCCACAGAGGTATCGGGTACTGGCTCGTGTGACTGCTTTATTGGTGAAGAAGCTTTCACTGGGGCTGGAATGGTCAAAGGCAAAGATGGAGGGGCATCAGAGATATCAGACTCCGAGGACTGAGGATATATATAGTCTTCTCCCAGAGAATGGCGATGGAGTTCAACATCTACTACCTAGACAATTGGGCAACAATCAGGCTCATGAGTCCATCATCAAGGTCACAGAAAGCTCAAGTCCTGTCTAAGAATGTGATCTCAGGGATGTCAGAGATAACTTCTAATCACACTTCAAAGGCAATTGCAATCTGAGGACCTAAAGGATTTATTCTAGAAGGTAACCTAATCTGGCTTAACAGATACATACCTCAGTGAAAATCTAATCTGGTTTAACATACAAATCTCAGTGAAATCACTCACAAATTGGGGCTTTTTGATTTTGCTGTTGCTACTCCTTACAACACTATTGCTCCAAATCTTTGCATGGCTGCCTTTCTCACCAGCAGGACTCAATGAAGTACACCACCTCAGAGAGACCATGCCTAATCACCTAAGCATGAGCTACTTCCTTATCCCCCAGCTACTCTTATCTTCACAGCACTTATTTGTAACTGAAGTAATTTTATTTGCTTCTGTGTTTACTGTCTACCCTCCCCGTTTTCAGTGCCACGTTTAGAAAATGTCAGTAGAACTTCATGGAAATTTTTTTTTTTTGAGACGGAGTCTCGCTCTGTCGCCCAGGCTGCAGTGCAGCGGTGTTATCTCAGCTCACTGCAAGCTCCACCTCCCGGGTTCAAGCCATTCTCCTGCCTCAGCCTCCCTAGTAGCTGGGACTACAGGTGCCCACCATCATGCCCAGCTAAGAATTTGACTCTTTGAAGGAAGAAGCTTCCGTGTTCATTTCTGTATTCCCAGCACCTGGACCAGTGCTCAGTAAGTACCCTCTGATATAATATAGCAGATTTCTCTAGACAGAGTAAGATTTAATTAGTGAACTCTGATTAAATGGCTATTGCTGATATTATATCATGAAAACAAAAAAAGGGGGAGAAGGTGAAGAACAAAGTTGGAGGTTTCCGACTCCTGATTTCAAAATTTATTGCAAAGCTAAAGTAATCAAAACAGTATGCTGCTGGCACAAAGACAGACATACAGACCAATGGAATAGAATAAATCCTCACATATATGGTCAAATTATCTCTGACAAGGGTCGCAAGACCATTCAGTGGGGGAAAAGACAGTATTTTCAGCAAATAGTGCTAGGAAAACTGGATATCCACATGCCAAAGAATGCAATTAGACCCTTACCTTACACTATATACCAAAATTAACCCAAAAGGGATCAAAGAATGAAACATAAAAGCTAAAACAATAAAACTCCTAGAAAAAAATATAAGGGAAAAGCTTCATGACACTGAATTTGGTAATAGTTTATTGGGTATGACACCAAAAGAACAGGCAACAAAAGAAAAAACAGACAAATGGGACATCAACTTAAAAACTCCTGTGCATCAAAAGACACAATCAACAGAGTGAAAAGGCAAAAATATATCATGGAATGGAAGTAAATATTTGCAAATCATCTATCTGGTAAGGGGTTACTATCCAGAATATATGAATAACTCCTGTGACCCAGCAACAACAAAAACCAAACCACCTAATTAAAAAATGGGCAAAGAGGCCGGGCACAGTGGCTCACGCCTGTAATCCCAGTACTTTGGGAGGCCAGGGCTGGCGGATCACGAGGTCAGGAGATCGAGACCATCCTGGCTAACACAGTGAAACCCCGTCTCCAATAAAAATACAAAAAATTAGCTGGGCATGGTGGCGGGCGCCTGTAGTCCCAACTACTCGGGAGGCTGAGGCAGGAGAATGGCGTGAACCCGGGAGGCGGAGCTTGCAGTGAGCCAAGATCGTACCACTGCACTCCAGCCTGGGCGATAGAGCGAGACTCCGTCTCAAAAAAAAAAGGGCAAAGACATTTTCTGAACGTCTTTGAATAGACATTTCTCCAAAGAAGATAAACACATGGCCACCAAGCACGTGAAGGGATCCTTAACATCACTAATGATTAGAGAAACACAGATCAAAACCACAAGATACCACGTCACAACCATTAGAATAACTACCATAAATTAAAATACAAACAAATTAACAAATGCTGGTGAAGACGTGGAGAAACTCGAATACGTGTGCACTGCTGGTGGGAATGTAAAATGGTGCAGCCGCCACGAAAAATATAGCAGTGGTTCCTTTAAAAATAGAATTACCATAGGATCCAGCCAATTCCATTTCTGGGTGTATACCCAAAAGAATTGAAAGCAAGGATTTGAATAGATACCTGTACACCTACGTTCATAGCAGCACTATTAACAACAGCCAAAAGATGGAAGCAACCCAAGTGTCCGTCAACAGATGAACAGATAAACAAAATGTGGTCTATACATACAATGCAAATATCATGCAGCCTAAAACAGGAAGAGGGGCTGGGCACAATGGCTCATGCCTATAATCCCAACATTTTCGGGGGCCAAGGCAGGAGGATGGCTTGAGCCCAGGAGTTCAAGACAAGCCTAGACAACACAGTGAGACCCGGTCTCTACAAAAAATAAACAAGTAAGTAAATAAATTAGCTGGTCATGGTGGCACACGCCTATAGTCCCAGCTACCTGACAGGTTAAGGACAGATTACTTGAGCCCAGGAGTTCAAAGCTGCAGTGAGCCATGAATGCACTCCAGGCTGGGTGAGAGAGCATAAATAAATAAATAAATAAAAATAAATTTCAAAAAAGAAAGGAAATTCTGACACATGCTACAACACGGATGAAATCTGAGGACATTATGCAAAGTGAAACAATCCCAAACGGACACATACGGTATGATTCCACTTATATGAGGTACCCTAGAGTAGTCAGATTCACAGAGACAGAAAGCAGAGCAGCAGTTGCCAGTGCTGGGGGGCAGGAGCAGTGGGTAGTCATCGTTTAATGGGTACAGAGTTTCAGCTCTGCAAGATGAAAACAATTCTAAAGATGGACTATGGTCACGGCTGCACAATAACGTGAATGCCCTTAATGCCACTAGACCGTACACTGAAAAATGAGTAAGACAGTAAATTTTGTGTTACGTGTTTTTTAACCACAATTTTAAAAAAATATATGAACCAAGGCTGGGTGCAGTGGCTCATGCCTGTAATCCCAGTGCTTTGGGATGCTGAGGTGGGAGGATTGCTTGAAGCCAGGAATTCTAGACCAGCCTATGAACATAGTAAGACACTCTCTCTATAAAAAAATGTAAACATTAGCTGGGCTTGGTAATGCAGGTGTACAGTCCTAGCTACTTGGGAGGCTGAGGTGGGAGAATGACTGGAGTCTAGGAATTCAAGGTTGCAGTTAGCCATGATGTTACTGTACTCCAGCGGAGACCCTGTCTCAACTAAAAAAAGAAAAGAGAAAAAGAAAAGGAAAAAAGAAGAGAAGAGAAGAAAAGAGAAGAGACGAGACGAGACAGGGAAGAGGAAGAAGAAGAGGAAGAGGAAAGAAAGAAAAGAAAAGAAAAGAAAAGAAAAGAGAAAAGGAGAAAGCTTGGTGTGGTGGCTCACGCCTGTAATCCCAGCACTTTGGGAGGCCGAGGTGGGTGGATCACCTGAGGTCAGGCAGTTTGAGCGCAGTCAGCAGATC